TATATGTTAAATCATTCTTGATGGGGATAAATTATAAAAAGGGGAATCTGGGGACCAGCAGTTAGTGTAATGGCTATGTCGCTGGACTCCCACGTAGTCGACCGCAGTTCGAGTCCCAAACCCGGTGGTTTAAACTCACGCCAGGCGCGTGTGCGTGCATGCCCAAGATCCCGAGAAGAGAATGGAGGAGAAGGGATTGAGGCATGGCCATCTCTCCCCTGGGGGGTGATTTCTCGCTTTCTGTCTCTCTGTCTCTGTCTGTCTGTCTGGCAAGCTCACGTGCCCTGTAGCAAAAACCTCTCCAAAAAAAAAAGAGGAACCTGGATTTTGAAGAAAAGGAAGGTAAAGCATTGATGGGACTACAGAGGATTTGCTTGTGATGTAACACTGGGAAGGAAAAGGATTTGTGTGAAGGGAGAGCTACAAATCTAATAAGAGGGACTGATCAGGCCAGATCATAGGGAGTGGGAGCATGAGTTTGAGTTAGAGCTAATTAGATCTAGAATATTAGGGAGGGGTATGGGTGTAGGGCAGAGAAACAGCCCTGTGTACACATGAGAGTTTATAATGCAAACAAATTGCACTGTACCTCAAAGACCAGAGTAAAACCCAGTAAACAAGAGCCAACATAGTGAATCATAAAATAAGAATAGATGGAGAGAATATGCTATAGCAGGAAAATGCCTCTTACTATGGACATTATCCAAAATTAATTAAAATTAATTTTTACACACTTTATTGAAATTAGAGAAGAAAGAGAACCTGGAGAGGTCCTAACAAGTAAGGAATTTAAAAATTGGAATTAATAATACTTATCAATTACTTGTATATAATTAATTGTATGAATTATAGGAACTCTTTCTCATGAAGTCATTACCTGCAAATTCTCTTACCATCGGGTTCTTTCAGAAGCCTAATCCCAATTGTTGGGGAGAAATACAATCTTAGTTTTTCTTAAAAGATCAAGTGAAGCATCAAAAATCATACCCTTTCATTTTTTGCAGAAATAAAAACTCAAGCCAATGGATTGCTACTTTTGGTACAACTATAACACCACCTGCAGTGCGGCGAAGAGTAGGGAAAATTATCCTTCATGAGGAGTACCATAAGATCACAAATGAGAACGACATTGCTTTGGCACAGCTCACTACCAGAGTTGAGTTTTCAAATATAGTCCAGAGAGTGTGCCTCCCAGATTCGTATATAAAGTTGCCACCTAAAACAAGTGTATTTGTCACAGGATTTGGCTCCATTGTAGATGATGGTGAGTAGTTTCAGTCTAATTTTTCTCAGCATGAACATATCTTGAGATCGAACAAGCTATCTTAGAAAGATCCTCTTAGGTTTTTCATAAAAGTAACGTGATGCTTCCAATATGTGTGGTGCTTGGTAGAACAGAGGGCTGTGGGATGATAGTGAAAGAAACCAGATCCCTAGCCAAGTTCACAATTTGAGCAGTGGTAAAGAAAGGTAGATTCTAATACAGAAGACAATGAACTTGATATAAGAAGGAGGAAATACCAAGTACGTGTGAAGGAGTAACTCATTACAAACTGGATCCTTCCTACGTGCAAATACTTCAGGCCAGTGCATACTTTAAATCACAATCTTCATACAAGTTTCTTCTTTATTTCAACCATCTCTCATTTTAGTGAAAGTTTATGATGATCATACACATGAAAACAGGCTGTGAACATTTTGAGAATTTCATTTGGTTAATAGAATCTACATGTTCTTCCTCCATCTCTCCCCTTAAAGGGGATGTTAGAAGATAGCAAATCCGGGAACCAGCAGTTGGCATAATGGCTATGTCGCTGGACTCCCACGTAGTCCACCGCAGTTCGAGTCCCAGACCCGGTGGCTTAAAACTCACGCCGTGTGCGTGCATGCCCAAGATCCCGAAAGGAGAATGGAGAAGAAAGGATTGGGACGTGACCATCCCCCTTGGGGGGTGATTTCTCGCTTTCTGTCTCTATGTCTCTCTCTGTCTGTCTGGCGAGCACATGCGCCCTATAGCGAAAACCTCTCCCCCCCCCAAAAAAAAGATAGCAAATCTAAAACGTGTGTAAGTTGAAGATCAGAACTTAAGATTTCTAGGTACTATTAGGTTGTCGGGAAAGTCATGACTCATTTTTGCAAAGAAAAATACATCATGATTTTCCTGATAACCCAATAGTCCACACTGCTCTAAAGAGAGAGATTAATTGGAAGGGACCAGCAGTTGGCATAATGGCTATGTTGCTGGACTCTCACGTGGTCAACAGTGGTCCGAGTCCCGGACCCGGTGGCTTAAACTCACGCCGGGCACGTGTGCATGTGTGCCCAAGATCCCGAGAGGAGAAAGGAGGAGAAGGGATTGCAGCATGGCCATCTCCCCGGGGGGTTGATTTCTCGCTTCCTGTCTCTATATCTCTCTCTGTCTTTCTGGCGAGTGCACGCTCCTGTAGCAAAAACCTCTCCAAAAATAGAAAAGGAAAAAAAAAAAAAAGGGAGAGATTAATTGAATGTTTTAAAGTGAGAAATAAATACTTTAGTTTCTATCAAGCACATCTGAAGATATATATTAGCATTTGTCTCCTAATTTCTTCAGATGTGGAGACATCTGAAGATATATATACATATACATATATATATATACGTATATATATATATCCATATATCTTTTTAGGGAGACCGAATTCTACTACATGAAAAAATTATCCAAATACTCCATGCATATCCAAAATGGTTTTGCGAGAGGTTCTTATAAGTTTCTTTTGGTCCTCTCTTCCTTCCTTGCTGCCTTAGGGATGCACCAACAGCTTCAACCAGAAGCCCTAAACTTATATAGCCCTTTCTCTATTTACTCTCATCTCCTCCAGAACCCCTTGGCCTCTTCAGATGGCTGGCACTATTGGTCATTCATTTTGTTTTCTATGTTTCAAGACTCCATTAAATCACACACTAAAGAACAGAGGAGGGCAAATAAATCTATGCCTTGTGTCTTGGTTTCTGCTTTAATAGCTTTCAAAAAATCAATAAACCTCCATGGGCCTTGGTTTCCTTATATTGAAAGTGTGATACTTGGACAAGATCAGTGTGATTAACTTTGAAAATCTAATAAAAACTATGGAACCCCCCTCCTCATAAAGAAAAAGCACTTATTCATATGTGCATATGCACACACACACACAACACACACTCACACACACAGCATTCCTAATCCAAAAAATACAGACTCTTAAATGATCTACAGTCTAAAACTTTTTGAATGCTGAAATGATGCCATAAGTTAAAAGTTCAACACTTGGCCTCAGGTGATGATTTGCAGTCAAAACACTACAATATGAAAACACTGTATAAAATTGTTTTCACACTAGGTATATATGAAACATAAGTGACTTGGGTTCCAAGATTATGTTTATGTAAATATCTCAAAAGCCAGAAAAATCTGAAACCCAAAACACTTATCTTCCCAAGCATTTTGGATAAGAGATAACAACCTGAACACATACATACTATTTTGCACATAATTTTAAGGGTTCCAACAACCTCAAAAGATCTACAAATATGAATACTGCTAGGGCTTGTATATTTACAGTTCTTTGCATGTGCACACTTATGACACAGAAAATAAAACTAGTTTATAACTGAAGTTAATAAAATAATCTGTGATTTCATGTCGAGGAATCTACAATTTATGTATCTTCCATGTCTTAAATGCAGTTTAAAGAACACATTGTTTCTTCATTTGTGCAATAGGACCTACACAAAATAAACTTCGCCAAGCCAGGGTGGAAACCATAAGCACCGATGTTTGTAATAGGAAGGATGTGTATGATGGTCTGATAACTCCAGGAATGTTATGTGCTGGATTCATGGAAGGAAAAATAGATGCATGTAAGGTAAGTCCAAAGTCAAGGTCAAAACTTCAAAAGGAAAGTTTTCATTAGCTATTTCTGTTTGGCATATATTTCACCTGGGAGAAAAAATGGTATCTATTTCACCAATATTTAAGTTTATTTAATGCTCGTAACAATAAAAGTTATTGTAGTAAGTGGTAAATATATGACAGCCAAAAAGTAAGAACTTTTTATACATTATTTCATTTAATATAATGAGATAAAAGCAGTGCTATAATTACCCCTATTTTATAAATTAGTAAATTAAAGACTGTTGCTATCTCTGGTTCACATGAATTTTCTATATGCCCTATTGTTATTTTCTTAAACAAAATTGAAAAAAAAATCAAAGACAGAGAAACCTTTCTTCTGTAGATATGTCATTCATCTCAATCACCACCTCTTGTCCACGTTGCTTTCATCCCACACCCCCCACCCTCTCCTCACTCTTACCCTTCTGTCCTGCTCCCCCCACCCCACCCCATTAATGGTGTTCACACCTGAAACAGATTTCCTCTCCATCCCAAACTATGCTTTATTAACATCAACCTGTTTAAAGGCTTGATTCTTAATCCCTATACCTCTTCAATTCCACCGATTCTCCTTAGCCACCACAGATCTTATCCTTGGGATCATACCTTGGGCCTTCTCCTAAAAACCGCTCCATCTCGGCCAACAGATGATGTAGTGGTTACGTCACTGGACTCCCACATGGCTGACTGTGGTTTGAGTCCTGGACCTTGTGGCTTAAAACTTACATAGGATGCATGTGCATGCACACCCAAGATCCAGGAGGAGAATGGAGAAGGGATTGCAGTGTGGCCATCCCCCACAGAAAAACAAACAAACAAGAACAACAACAAAAACACTGCTTCATCTTCACATCAATTTTCATCTTCCCCTGTGACTACTATGTGCACCCTTTCCCCCTGCTTTTCAACTACTCCTTCTTTCTTGAATACATTGTTAACAAAACATGGTATAAAATAAAAACCCAATTTCATTTTTTTATGTGGCTAACCAGTTTTCCCAGCACCACTTGATATGTTCTCTTGATCAATCAACCCTCTTATTATTATATCATGGCCTTCTTTTTTTCTTTTTTATAGTTTTATCTTAAAGTCTGTTTTGTCTAAGTATAGCTATTTCTGCTGTCTTGGTTTTAATTTATGTGAGATACCTTCTTCCATCTTTTAACTTTCATTTTATGTGTCCTTACAACTGGGTTGTTGGAAAAGTCATGACACATTTATGCAACAGATGGAGCTAGTTCATTTTTGAAAGTACTAGAGTAATTTGCATCTATGTTATTGCTATGTCATTTGACAGCTGACAGTTCTAGCTTCATTCTAAAAATAATTAAGTGATTTGGTTGAGTTTTAGAGATTTTATAACAAGTTGAAAATGGAAGACCAAACTGTGCACTTTTGCCATACTTTGCTGTTTTACTTCTGTAAAGGGAAGAACTCAGGTCATGCTTATGAAAAATTTCATAAAGTTCATGGTTCAATGCTTTACAAAAACATCAGTATCAACAATGGTTCTCGAAATTTTGTGCTGGTGATTTTGACCTCAACGATGGTTCTCAGTCAGGGAGGCTCACTGAGGTCCATGAAAACAAAATAAAAGCATTGATTTAGTCAAACCCACGTTACATGACATGAGAGATTTCAGAAACATTGAACATCCATCATTTAAGTTTTAACAACCAGTTTAAAGAGCTGAGATATGTAAGCAAGCTTGATATTTGTTTTTTTTTTTTCATGAACTCAAGTTCATTTGATAACTTGTATAAACATCTGTGAAATGCTCATTAAATGTGGGGAAAATGATCCTCTTTTGATATGACTGATAACTGGTGATGGAAGTACATAGTTTACAACAATGTGGTGTGCAAATGGTCTTGGTCGTGTTGTAATGATTTGACTCATATGACATAGAAAGGATTCATTCATCAGAGGAAGGTTGTGTTTTCAGTGCGGTAGGATTCTAAAGGTATTGTGTTTTTCGAGCTCCTACCAAGGACAATTTGAATGAATCTAGCATCCAGAAATGTTCGGAGCTTGTTAATCCTAAAGGAGTTGTATTCCATGACAACGTGAGACCATACACAATTCTGAGCATCTATCAAAAATTACTAGAGTTTGGATGGGATGTGTCGCCACACCCACCATACTTTAAAGGAGTTGTATTCCATAACAATGTGAGACCACACACAATTCTGAGCATCTATCAAAAATTACTAGAGTTTGGATGGGATGTGTCGCCACACCCACCATACTTTAAAGGAGTTGTATTCCATAACAATGTGAGACCACACACAATTCTGAGCATCTATCAAAAATTACTAGAGTTTGGATGGGATGTGTCGCCACACCCACTCTACTTACCTGACCTTTTGCTGTCAAACTTTTACTTGTTCCGCTCTATTCAAAACTCATTGCATGGTATAACAGATGATGCTGAAAATCAGTATCTTGTTCATGTTTTTGCCGATACAGACAGGTCCTTCTATGAAGCTCTCTGAAAGATGGCAAAAAGTTATTGAACAAAATGAGCAATATATCACTGATTGTTCTTTATATAAATAAATTACATTTGAAAAACAGAAAAATATGTCATGACTTCTCTGATAACCCAATAGTAAAGTGAATCTCTTGTAGGCACCAAATAGTTGGATCTGTTTTACAGTATTAGAGTTGTATGAATATGATACAATTGTTTTACACACTAATCTTACAGTATTAGAGTTGTATGAATATGACTATGTATTATTATACTGTTGGTTGTTTTTTATTTTGCTGTGTCTTATGGTATTTGTCAGCAGCCTTTCAGTTGAGTTTGAATAATTTCAGTTACCAATTTTGTATCAAGCCTAGTGGTGACAAATTCCCTTAGCTTTTGCTTGGGAAAGTTTTTAGTGTTCCCTTATTTCTGAAGGATAGCTTTGCTCAGTAAAATGTTCTTAGGAGGATGCCCCCACCCCCCCACCTGCCCCATTCATTACTTTGAATAAACCATTCTATTCTCTCCTTGTCTGCAGGGTTGCTGCCAAGAAATCTTCTGATAGTTTTTTAGAACCCTGTTGAATGTTCCCTGTTTATAATTTTTTGTGCTTTCAGTATTTTTTCATCTTTGTTTTTTGATAATTTGATTATGATGTTTCTTGTCAAACTCCTCTTTGGGCTGAACTCTGTTTAATTGGAGCCTCCTGTTCCTGGATGTCTTAACTCACATTTGGGAAAAACTTTAGCCATTATTTCTGTAAATATGATTTCTAGGTCTTTTTCTCTCTCCTCTCCTTCATAACCTCTATTATGTGTATCTTAATTCTCTTGATGATGTCTCATAATGTCCATATGCTCTCTTCACTTAAATTTCCTATTGATAATTTCTTGTAGTACCCTAAACATTTTGAAGAATATTTTGAATTCTTTGTCAGTCATTTCATAGATCTTAACTTCTTGAGGTTCTACTATTGGGGCGTTATTATCTTATTTTGGTGGTGTTATATTTCTCTAATTTTTCATAATCCTTTTGTCCTTGCATTGGTGTCTGCATATTTGAGGAAACAGTCCCCTTCCAGGCTTTGCAGGTGTTCTTTGGCAGTTATAGACCTTCACTATTTAGTCTAACCTGGGATTCTGGTTGGATCATTTGGTAATGAATTGCACAGGCAGACCATGCTATCATGTTCTCTCTAGTTTAGCTGGGCTCTCAACTGTGTTCTGGAAAAGTAGAACTGCTAGCTGTGTTCCATGGTTTGATGAAACCACTGGCCGGACACTATAGTAATGCAGATGCTGGTTGGGCTCTGGAATTGCCTCTCAATAGGAAGCATTATAGATTGTCTTCTCTGACTAGCTGGCATTATAGTTTGTGGTATTTAGTTAGGCAGAGCCACATTCTGGGCTCCAAGAGTGGGCAAAGTTTCTAGAATTGCCTATTCTACAACATTGGATAGGCTGGGCCAGAGGCCATGCTCTGGAGATATGTGTGGATATGAGGTTGCCTTAAGCAGACCATTGAAATCTGGTACAGTAGCCATTCAGATGTCAGGATTGGGAGAGACCAGATGACCTAATAAGCAGATACCAGAGTTTTTTAAAAAGTTAATGGAAAAAAAAAAAGAAAAAAAAGTTCATGGAAAATGCATATAATGGGAAAATTATGCATGAATTTTTTAAAAAATTGCACCAAAATCAACTCATTTTAATTAATATTTTTCACTAACTTTTTGAAGTCCCCTCATATTTTCTGACCTGTTCTTGCCTCCTAGTTTGGCAAGGGGGGCCAGATTCAAATAGCGTCAGTTACTCTTTTCATGGGTACTGCCAACTTGTCCCTGCCTCCTAGCCTGGAGAGGCTTGAAGGTAGGAAAACCAGCCCAGGATCCAAGCTGTTGAGTGTTGTTATTGGTTAGCCTCTTGTGGTGCATCTCTGCTGGCTGGAATGCAGAGCCATAGATAAGATCTGCTTGCTAGTCACTCTGAGCTTAGCCCTAGCCTTTATTTCAAACTGATCCCAGGTGGTCTAACTTTGCCAACAGCATCCATGTTTTTCATGGAGTATGACAAGAGTGCCTCCTGTGAAGGATCCTGGGATGGCAGGGATGCTAAATGTCTGCCTGCATTTTTTGCATCCCTATAAAAACCATAGGTCTCACAGGACTCTTTGGGCTGCATCACTATGCTAGCTTGAGGGAGGGGCAAAACAGGCCAAGTGAAACTGCTCACTTGCCCCATTTCTTCAACTTTTCTCAGTTCTGCAGTTTAAAGGGTGTCTCAGAGTCACTCCCATGTGCTAGGATATTCACAAGGGTATTTCTGTCTGTGGATATACGCTTGGATTTCTGTGGCAGGGAGTAGAGCTGCAGAGTTCCTACTCTACTATCTTGCTGACATCATTGCTGGTCAACTTTTTTTTTTTTTTGGAGAGGTTTTCGCTATAGGGCGCGTGCGCTGGCCAGACAGACAGAGAGCGACAGAGAGACAGAAAGCAAGAAATCACCCCCCAGGGGGGATGGCCACGCTGCAATCCCTTCTCCTCCATTCTCCTCTCAGGATCTTGGGCATGCACGCACACATGCCTGGCGTGAGTTTTAAGCCACCCGGTCCAGGACACGAACTGTGGTCAACTACGTGGGAGTCCAGTGACATAGCCATTACGCTAACTGCTGGTCCCGCTGGTCAACTGTTTTTAAACACTTTTGCTTATACCCTAAACTCACTTCCATTTTGCCAGTGTTTCTGTTTTACAAAATTCTAAACCCGGAAGAATTCTTTCTCTCTCTCTGGCTCTGTCTCTTTGCACATTTACATATTCCTAGGAAATACATCCTAACAGAACACACTGGTTTCACTACAGGTTCTGTATAACAAAGCTTCTGATCCTTTTATGTTATTTTTTTATCTTGTATTATTGTTTTCTTTAGTTTAGGTTGCCTTCTTGATTTTTATGTTTTATTTGTTTTTTTTTGTTTGTTTATTTGTTCTGTTTTAAAATCTATCACTCTAAAATTTCTCAGCACTTTTCTTAACCTCCAGTTTTTCTTATCCCCACTCTCGGCCAATGATTCTGTTTCCCAATTTTCCAAGAAAAATAGAAACCATATGAGGGCAATTTCCCTGTCTTTCCAGGACCAAAGATCTGGACTCACTTTTTCCACCTTTAGCTTCAGAGAAGCTGCTACTTCTCTAAGACTAATCCCTTCTAGTCTGCTTGTGTTCTTGTTCTTGTTGGCATTTGGTGGGAATTTACAAGTAATTATTCCTTCTCTTTCTTTTTATAGTCAACAATTATCTTGCAACTGAATATTTCACTATTCAAAGGTCTTGAAATATAAACAATAACTCTCTTGATTCTGAGGTCTCCAGTTAGCACCTCATCTTATTGCTTTACCATAAAATATTTGGAAAAAGGTTTTTACCCATGATCTCAATTTTCTCACCTCCCACTGATTTCTCAAACCATTTTAATATGGCTCTGTTATAATACTTGGCCAAAATAGTTTTGCCTAATGTTTCTAATGACCTATTAATAACATTCATGCTCTTAAAATCCAACACATATTTTTGGCCCTATTTTCTTTTGGCCTCTTAGCAAGATTTAACAATGTTTATCACTTCCCCCTTTTGAAATACTGTCTTCCCTTGACTTATAATGATTTTCAGTCCACATCACTGCCTGATTCTTCTCTGTCTTCTCATTCTCTTAATCCCAGCCATTCAACATTGATCTATCCTATGCCTGTTTCTCTTTTTTCCTCATTAAAGAGTCAAATTCCCTTCAATAGATTTAGTCATCATCTCTTTGTAGATGATTCATACTTTCAGCCTCAACCTCTCCTTTGAACTTCAGATATCCAACTCCTACTTGTCAATTTCACTTGCATATTTCAAAGGCATCTCAATTTTAAAAAATGCTGTATTTGATTCTGCTCTTATTTGCCAACCCACCCAGCTTGATCCTCTTCCTGTATTTTATATCTGTGTTAATGTCTTCTCTTTTCATTCTGTTAAATAACTCAAGAAAGCTAAAAACAATTTCAACCTTCTCTCCTGTCCAATAACCAGTTAATTATCTAATCTTATACATTTTACCTTCCCAATATCACTGTGTCATCATTTTTTCATTGCTTCTCCTTCCCCATGCTCTTT